CCGCTCATTTTTAATCATGACGGAGTTTTAAAAAGCTATCCAGATCCAAAGCTGGTTAATACTTCTTTCATTAATTATTTAGTTCGACATGTTCCTCAAATTTTCATTCTAATTTCACGTTTCAGGAAACTTTTCTTTCTTTCCTCATCCAAAAACTTGCCAGTTTTTTTTTTTTCAAGTGAGATTTAATAATTGAGGGATAAGATTACCTAAGAGCAACAGTCATTTAATTATTTCGTTATCCTAATCACAAGACTTTTTTGGACAAAAAGATCTAAAACGTTCTTCCATAGTCAGTTTGTAAGTCCATGGACAAATTTCTATTCCATAAAAAAAGAAAGAAAACCGAAACTTTTAGAAGTTGTGTTTTAACTTGCGAACAATTCCGACTTTGTTCAAAATAGATATGAAAATGACAGTATTTTGTCATTGTGTTGCATTCTGCATGCGATAACTTCCATATTGTCATGAAATGGCAAAACAAAAAACCAGACATTCATTTCATGCATTCAGAAAATGGAAACTTGTCCCACTGATTGATAATCTCTGATAGGTGAACAATTTTCATCAGTTTCTTAATGTGTTATTTTAAGGTTAGATTTGACAACTATCGTGGAAACTTACAACCATATGAAGGTGTCGAGAGCCAATGGCCACTTCATCTTCGAAATGGCCGAACATTGTTTTATAATGAAATGTTTGTTCCACGTATTTTTAATTCATCGTCGTCCGTTTACTCCAGAACTTATGTCGTGCTAAAGAAAGTTCTCAAAGTATTCCTTATCACTGCAACTTGCTTGCTTGCCTTGTTTATCTGAAGTTAAATCTGTGATATTATTTACATGTCTTCAATTGTTTTAATTTGGCACAACCCTACTAATCCATTGTTTTGGATTCAGTCATTCAGTCCACTGAAAACTTGTTTATAAAAACTTTAATACCTGTTATTTTCAAGGACTGGAGCTATCGAGATGAAATACGAAATTATCAAGTTAGTAATCTCCTTTCTTTTGTAATTTAAAAAATTTCAATTACTGAACTGGGAAAGAGCAATTGAAAAGAGCTGGTAGAACAGAAATAAATAAATGAAGCGGAAGTAAATCCTGATTTTTGGGGCAGGCGACCGAAACAAATCTCTTTGAAGCTTCCGAGAATAAGATAGATATCGAAAATGTGCCAGGTATCCTTACGAGTCAAAATAAAAAATAGCAATGTTAACTTATCGTTGTATTTCACCAGTTATTTTTTCAGTTCAACACAGAAAACCATTGCCCATACAAAAGTATTAACTAATTACGGCAATTATGTAAAGGCGCTTTCATACTTTCCTATTGAATACATCGAAGATGAGTATGTTACACATCCACCTCATTCGTTTTCACTTATTCTGGATTTCAATGCCATCATTTGGCAGTAAAACAAATCACTTAACACTTAAAAATATGCATATGAACTTTGGTCTATTAGCATTTTAAACAATCATAAACTGAAAAATACAATTGAATATGTAGACAGTAAGAAGTAACCGCTGATAAACAACTTCTGTTAAGACTGTTGTCATTTAAGCTAATTCCCTAGTTGCGATTTAAACCATTGAATTATTTCAGATATATGGGAACGTTCCGTAAAGAAACGGCGAAATTCCCGATATCTTTCTATGGAATAATCAACTGTACTGTTTTTGTGATAATGAAATTTGAAGATTTCGAGAAAGTAAATCTTGAAGGCAGTGGTAAGCATTTCGATATCATTCTGATATGGAACATTATGGAATACAAAATAGAATGCTTTGTTTGATATTCTTGTCAGGACAATTCAAATTCTTTAAATGTAATATTTCTGAGAATGGACAAGATTCCTTAC